TGTTTCCTCTACCCTTTCCTCACCTTCTGCTTCTGCTGCTGCAGCATCTGCTGCTGCTGCTGTTGCTGCTGCTGCTGCTGCTGCTGCTTCATGGCCGCCGGCAGCAGCAGGATCAGCTGCAGCAGTTGCTTCCTTTATCTCATCTGTCTCCTTTGTCTCTGTTGTTTTTTCTGTCTCTTTGTTTTCTCTGTCTCTCTCTGTTGTTTCTTTTTCTTTTTCTTTTTCTTTTTCTTTGTTTTTGTCTCCCCCCTCCCACTCCTTTATATCTCTCTCTTTCTCCTCTTTGTCTTGCTCTGCTGCTTCTGCTGCTGCTGCTGCTTCTGCTGCTGCTGCTGCTGCTGCTGCATCTGCTGCTGCCGCTGCTACTATCGCTGCATCTGCTGCTGCATCTGCTGCTACATCTGCTGCTGTATCTGCTGCTGTTGCTGCTTCTGCTGCCTCTGCTGCTGCTGTATCTGCTGCTGCTGCCGCAGCATCTGCTGCTGCTTCTGTCTCTGCTGCTGTTGCATCTGCTGCTGCACCTGCTCCTGTTGCTGCTCCTGCTGCCTCTGCTGCTGCTGTATCTGCTGCTGCTGCTGCTGTATCTGCTGCTGCTGCCGCAGCATCTGCTGCTGCAACCGCAGCATCTGCTGCTGCTGCAGCAGCAGCATCTGGTGCAGCACCTGCTGCTGCTGAAGCGGGTTCTCCCCCAGCATCGGCTTCTCCTGCTGCTGCGAGCGTGTCATCTACAACTGCTGCTGCTGCTGCTGCATCCGCGTCTGCTGCTGCTGCTGCTGCTGCGTCTGCTGCTGCTGCTGCTACATCCGCGTCTGCTGCTGCTGCTGCTGCTGCTGCATCCGCGTCTGCTGCAGCAGTGCGGGCGTACTGTGCTGTCTCAGCTGTTTCTGCTGCTCTTTGTTTGTTATTCATCATTTCGTCTTCTGCTGCGCCTCTGCTGCTGCTGCTGCTGCTGCTTTTGCTGCTGCTGCTGCTGCTGCTGCTGATAGATTCAGCAGCTGCAGCAAATGAATGCTCAGCTGTCTCCTCAGACCTCGAAGAAGACATTTGCTGCTCGTCAGCATCTGCTGCAGCAGCAGCAGCGCCATCTGCTGCAGCAGCTGCAGCAGCAGCAGCGTCATCTGCTGCAGCAGCTGCAGCAACAGCAGCGTCATCTGCTGCAGCAGCTGCAGCAACAGCAGCGTCATCTGCTGCAGCAGCAGCAGCAACAGAAGCGTCATCTGCTGCAGCAGCTGCAGCAGATAGTGCAGCAGCAACGTCAGCAGCCGGAGCAGTATGTGCTGCAGCAGCTGCTGCAACAGATGCTGAGCTGAGGTGAGAAGCCCGGCGAGTTGCTGCTGTTGCTGCTGCAGCAACAGCAGCAGCAGCAAGCGCTGCGGGGCCCCTGGGTGATGAGTTAAGAGACGAAGCAACAGCAGCAGCAGCAGCAACTGCTGCTGCTGCTGCTGTTGAAGCGGCTGCCTCTATTTCTGCCTGCGCTGGTGCTGCAGCAGTCCTATCATCTGCAGCAGCAGCAGCAGCAACAGCAGCAGCAGGATCAGCAGCAGCAGCAGCAGCAGCGGTTGCTGCAGGCGCAGGTGCTGCTGCTATCTCAGCAGCAGCAGCAGCTGCCGCAGCTGTCTCCTCAGCTTCTGTCTCTGGAGCTGCAGCAGCAACGACGCAGCAGCAGCAACAGCAGCAGCAGCAGCAGCAGCAAATGATTCCGCAGCAGCTATTGATGCAGCATCTGCTGCAGCAGCAGCTGCAGCAGCAGCTGCAGCAGCAAAAGTATCTGCGTTGTTTCGGGTGTATATGCAGCTAACTATATATTTATTTGTTTATGGTCACCAAAAGACAAACACATTTTTGTTTTTTTGTTTTTTATTTTCTCTGTTTCTTTCTGTCTCTTTCTGTCTCCTTCTGTCTCCTTCTCTCTCTATCTGTCTCCTTTTATATCTGTCTCCTTTTGTCTCTATCTGTCTCCTTTTGTCTCTCTCTGTCTCCTTCTATCTCTATCTGTCTCCTTCTGTCTCTCTATCTGTCTCCTTCTGTCTCCTTCTGTCTCCTTTTGTCTCTATCTGTCTCCTTCTGTCTCTATCTGTCTCTCTCTCTGTCTCCTTTTGTCTATATCTATCTCCTTTTGTCTCTCTCTGTCTCCTTTTCTCTATCTCTGTCTGTCTTTGTTTCTTTTTTTTCTGTTTATTGTCTCTCTTTACCATCCTTATAATATCTTTTTGTCTCCTTTTCTTCTTTCTCTTCTTCTTCTCTTTCTTTCTCTTCTCTTTCTTTTTCTTTCTTTTCTTCTCTTTCTTTTTCTTTTTCTTTTTCTTTTTCTGTTTCTTTTTCTTTTTCTTTTTCTTCTTTTTCTTTTTCTTTTTCTGTTTCTGTTTCTTCTTGGTTGTGTATGTTCTGTGTCTCTGTGTCTTCTTCTGCTTCCTGGGGAGACAAAAACAAACAAAATAAAAAACAAAATTATGCGGTCTCTTCCCTCTCCTTCTTTATATATATATATATATATATATATATATATA